GAATTTGTAATTATATTCCTATGATTGAAGCCAAGGACTTTGTCAGCTCTAGCGAAGCCAAGCAAAGACGAAGTTGAGATATGAATTCCAATGCGAGCTCGAGTAATTATTTAAGCATGCCAAGTCTGGCAAAGAGGTAACTAACGGATTAGTATCTTTAAATTCCATTTTGTACTTGTATTCGGATAGTTAAACAATCTCTCATCTTTAAGCACCTATATCCAAGTAAGGCTTAGAGAAGGTCGATTATTTAAGCCAAGGACATGGCCAGCTGTAGCACAGCGATATGAATTCGTATGCGAATTCGAGCAATTAGTGGCATATGCAAATGGGGAAGCCTAGAAAAGGAGACGAAGTGTAACTGACGGATTCGTTTCGACACCGGCTTCGTCGACGTTTCAGCCAGCTACGCGTTGGCTGCCGGCATAAGCCACGATTATGCGCATTACCATAAAAGCGGTGCGGATGCGGGGCCCTCCAGCTGAACTCTTGGCTGACTCCGGGGCTATGACTCAAAAATCAAGCTACCGCAACGAAGCTGCATACAGCTCCCCAGTACCAATGACGGCGCCCCCGCTCCCGCTCCCGCACTCGCACTACGCTTTTGTTTTGTCAGCGACAACAACAACGACAACAAATATTGTAACAATAGTTTTTTTTTTTTTGTTTTTTCTGCTGCTGGCGTTGAACTTGACTGCCAGAAGAGAGCCACGTTTCGGAATCGATGTGCATGACAAAAAGGGCTCTAATATGGGGGAGGAAGTGTTTAAATTGGAATAGTCGAGCCATAAGCTCATTTGTTTGCTCACTCGCTCGCTCGTGCGCCGGAAACTGAAGGCAACATGGAGTACACAGACATGGCGAGAGCTGGAGATACCAAATGGCGACTTCAAGTTTCAGCTCCAACGCTTCGGCATATTTTTAATTAAATGAAGCTGTTTTTGTTTTTGTTGCTGTGTGGAGTGTGTGAACACAGATTATCCCCAAAAGCCTGTCTGCGCTGGATGCCATTGCCATGGAAAGCCGTCTGGGGCTGTCAATTGAGCTTGAAACAACAAACTGGAAGTTAGCCACCAAATTATTGTTTATTGGCATTTCCTTGGCATTCAAATTATGTATGAAATTTTATTGTGGTTACATGGGAAACCGCATAATCGAAAAGATATATTCGTATCCATGGGATACACACATTGGATTGTCAAAACAGAATTTCACTTTTTCCCAATACACTGATCAATGGAACTGGAGCCGCTGCTGCTGTTGTCCGAGAACAGGCCAAGCGTTAACAACAAATGGGCGCCTTTGGCCAAAAGCTTCCAATGGCATATCCATTTGTCAGACTCGACCCAAAAAGTTGAGTCGAAGGAAAAGCGGCGTCAACGTCGTCGTCATGCTATATGAACTAACGACTGCAAGTCGCTGGCATTTCCTCACTTAAGTAAATTTCGGGAAATACTTTTATATAAAATGCGTATATCTCTGATATTTGGCGCTCGCTTGGCTTAAAAATTTGCTCTAATTCGCCAAGTTTTTCGAAAATTGGCTGCATGAAAGCAATACCAAGTGTTATATCAAAGCCCCCAAATTGAGGCAATGAGTGTTAATGTGTGTAATTAAGTCGAGCTTATTTCCTATAAATTGTCTAAGTTAGCCTACTTACTTATGCTTTTAATGACTAAGACTGTTTATGGAGCTGTTAGTTTAGTTTGTAGCTCCCATCGAAATCAATTGCTGGCAATTGTGCGAAATTTTATGCTGAAATATTCTAGTTTAGTTTCAGTCACTTTATGATATTTCTTTTACTTTGCATATTTTTGTAACTTTCTAAAATGTTTAACAACGCCAACAGCGCATTAAAAAGAATCTCCAAATTGCTTCTACTATATGAATTATTTCAAGTGAAATCTAAGGCAAACATATTGCAGAACAAAGTTTCTAAAAAGTATTAAACTAAATATTTGTGTAGTTTTTATAACAAACAATATAATATAAAAAAGTATATCAGAAATATGTGAGGAAATAATTTTAAAGGTTACTAGGAAATATATTTTATGGAAGATCAACTTTACAGCTAGCTTTGTATTCTTTTCATTCTCTAATATGAAAATAAGTATCGATAAGTTAATTTTGCATTGAAAATAACTTCGAGCCAAACTTTTTTTAGCAGGTTAAAGTGAGTGTATAGTCCCTATGTAACCAAGTTTTTACATGATATGGTTTATGGGATACCTAGAATATCGACAGCTTCGCATTTCATAACCCAAATAGCCAACATATTTAGCTGTTATTAGCCGCAGTCGTAATCATTGCAGCATGAAATTATAGATGTACATACGACCATATACATAGCATCTATACATGCATACACCTATCATAAATCTGTGGCTGCCACCATCGGCGCCCACCTGCGCTGTTCGAGCCACTGACCAAACAACCCAATTGCCGTACTTTATATAAAAGCGTTGGCCATAAATGCACACACGCGCACACATACACACACACACAAAATTACCTTAAGCAGCATCTAAATACCGCTAAGGAAAATTGTTTTTGGAAAAAACATTAAAAATGGAAAAGAAAATGTTGCATGCGGCGGCTGAAAGCGAAATCAGCTATTATTCCAGACGCAAATGAAATCATTTTTAAATAAAATATTCGCCCCGAGGTGGCATTAACTAGCATTTGAAATTCATAAACGACCTTGTCTACGATTTTTCAACACAAGATATATCTGGCTTTTCAAGAGGTTGATGTAACACGCAATTGCTAATGAGCTGCAAATGTTGCGGCAAGAGCATCAACATTTATGTGTGTGTGTATGTGTATGTGTATCTTATAGATGTCGCTGTATGTCTCTTTCTGTATCTCTGTATCTATATGTCTGTATCTATATCTTTGTATCTATATCTTTGCATCTATATCTTTGTATCTGTATCTTTGTATATATATCTTTGTATATATATCTTTGTATTTATATCTTTGTATCTATATCTTTGTATCTATATCTTTGTATCTGTATCTCTGTATCTGTATCTCTGTATCTGTATCTCTGTATCTATATCTTTGTATCTGTATCTCTGTATCTGTATCTCTGTATCTATATCTCTGTATCTATATCTATGTATCTACATATCTGTATCTATCTCTCTGTATCTATATCTCTGTATCTGTATCTCTATATCTGTATCTCTATATCTGTATCTCTGTATCTGTATCTCTGTATCTGTATCTTTGTATCTATATCTTTGTATCTATATCTTTGTATCTGTATCTTTGTATATATATCTTTGTATCTATATCTTTGTATTTATATCTTTGTATCTATATCTTTGTATCTGTATCTTTGTATCTGTATCTCTGTATTTGTATCTCTGTATCTGTATCTCTGTATCTATATCTCTGTATCTATATCTATGTATCTACATCTCTGTACCTATATCTCTGTATCTACATCTCTGTATCTGTATCTCTGTATCTGTATCTGTATCTCTGTATCTATATCTTTGTATCTGTATCTCTACATCTGTGTCTGTATCTCGGTATATGTACATATAACTGTATCATGTTGCATCTGTTAATTATACCTGTAATTGTATCGAAATCATACAAATCAATCGACGGGCAAAAAGCTTAAACACAAATTGCTTCACAACAACTTATGAAATGTCATAATTGTGAATTCATTGAACTGGCTCCACACGGAGGCGTGGCAATTGCTCTGCTTTCAATCAGCAAAAAGCGAGTTCAAGACAACTTAAACAATGGCAACGCCTTGCATTAATAAGCAAGTTAACTAGCTGGAAGCAATGAAGCTGAGTACGAGATGCATATGACCGATGAATGCATCTATCACACAGTTGAGATATTCACACGCACTACAATCCGATCAGATACAGCTGCAAAAACCACAGAAAAGATATGCCCCCGACAACATTTGCATTCGCGTTGACGAAATGTCAAACTGAAATTTGACTAAGAAATTGAAATGAAAATGGTTGACTAGCAAACACCCTGCATATATACTTTTATATATGTTGAAAATAAAATTTGAATCTACCTTAATTTGACTTATATAGAGAACAACTCTCTTAGCTTTAGCGTAAACTAGGAAATATGCTATATACTGAATTAAGAATGGTTTATAGAATTATGTCTGTATCTCAGAATTCAAAGGAATTGTACTAGATAACATATAGAAATTCAGATCAACCCACTCAATCCACCTATAACACATATGTATGTATATCTGAATATCTGTATACTCGCTTTATAATTTGCAGTTTTCACTTAGATTAACTAGATATGCAATTAATTGGCCAGCAATATATAGAAGCCATATGCAATTAATGATAGCCAAGTAATTTTGCAAAAATGTAACGGTCATTAAACTCAAAAAAACAAATGAAATTTTCCAAAGCGGAATTCCGGGCTAATGCCAAAAGAAAGAAGAAGTCAATGAAAGAAAACAAATTTCGACGCTTAATTAATTTGCCCATAAAACTTTCGCAAGATCTTTTTCTTTTATTTTTTTTTTTTTGTGCACAGACTTCTCACGCAGCCCACAAAGAGCAGAACGTGCTCTACCATCTGGAGGGGGTATGTCTGTCTGTGTGTGTATTTGTGTGTGTGTGTGTCCAGTAGCATTGAGCAACGTTTTGTACGACTGAGCTTTCTGGGCAATTGTGTTGTGTTGCAACGTGCAACAAGAATCAGAGCCAGAGCCAGAGGCAAAGGCAGAACCAGAACCAGAAACGGACAACGGCAATCGCAGAAGAAAGCAGCTAGCCGTACTTCCAGAATTCCAGATACACAGCTCCAAAGCTGTCGCTCTAGTTGTCGGCATTGTCTTTAGTCGCACTCATTTGTAGATGTCTTATTAGGTTTACGTACTTGAAATTTCTCAAGCGAGACTCTTTTAAGGTCATAAGGCACAGAACACACATACACACACACACACACACACACACAGGTGTACATACACACTCGGAGTACCTTTTTGGTACACAATTTTTAATGACATTTTGGGTTAGATAAATATGGGTTAACACTCGTGCTGTTGTTATTGTAACACTCCGTCTATTTTCTAGGTGCCGGTCTAATATGGTCGAGTGCGACCTGTCATGTAGCAGCTGTCGCCGGCAGTTGTCTTCAGGTGCTCACAACATAATAATGTACAAAGCCAAACAATCCAAAGCCATTGCCAGCCTGGACTATAAAAAGGTGCGCTTAAAAGCCCACAGGTGCAGCCCATATCGAATCCTATGCGCAATACTCGTAATATTCATTGGTTTGGTGGCTGCGAATCGACCGCCGCGTTTCGCCATCGATGGGCAGTCGGAGATAGTGCTGAGGCTGAAGGAGAGTCCCGAGACACGGGTGGGCAGTCACATATACACGCTGAAGGGCTACGATCCGGACAACGATCCGTTGTTCTTTGGCAAACGCAATTCGCACGACAGCGAAATCATACGCATCGAGAACACCGGCGGCAACGAGGCGAAGGTCTTTCTGGCCAAGGAGCTGGATCGTGAGACCCAGGACGAATATGCCATAGTGCTCACCCTGACGGACAGTCACTACAGCGATCACAATTACGTGACGCAAAGCTTTCTGCTGCTGGTCGAGGACATTAATGACAATACGCCCATCTTTCTGCCCTATCCGAATGCCATCGAAATACCCGAGGGCAGCGCCCCGGGCGTGATCAGCACACTGGAGGCCACCGATGCCGACGAGGGTGCCTACGGGCAGGTGGTCTACTATCTGCAGGAGCTGGACGGCGACAATGATGTATTCAGCATTTCCACGCACCAGGGCAAAGGCATATTGAGACTGCAAGGTGAGCTGGACTACGAGAGGAAGAGTTTGTATCAGCTGCGCGTTTTGGCCATCGACCGAGCCAATCAGGGCCCCGTGAACACCGGCACGGCGGCCATCTTGGTCAAGGTCAAAGACATTGAGGATCAGCCGCCCGAGTTCGTGGAAGTGCAAGCTGTCGCACGTATCGCCGAGGATGCGCCCGTGGGCACAAAGGTGCTGCGCGTACGTGCCATCGATGGCGATCGTGGCATTAACAATCCCATTGCCTATACGCTGGACGGCAATGATCTGTTCGATATTGATACGCATACGGGCGTGGTCTACACGCTGGCTGTGCTGGATCGTGAGGAGGAGAGCGATCATGTGAATGGGGCTCACATCTTGAGGATCAGTGCAACGGAACTCTCTAGGACAGCCGAAGAGCCCCAAGAGCCAGCAACGGTGCGCACCGAGGTGACCATCATTGTGACCGATGTCAACGATGAGATACCCACCTTCGGCGAGGTCATCTATCGCTGCGAGGTCAATGAGAATGCCCAGACCAATACGCCGCTGAACTTTATCGATGGCGAGGTGCAGAACGTTGTCTACGATCACGATGAGGGCAAGAATGGCACGTTTCGTTTATTTCTCGATCCGCCCAACGATCTCTTTGAAATTGTGCCCGAGCTGGCGGTCAACGAGGCGAACTTTATGCTACGCGTTAAGAATTCCAAATCTCTGGACTTTGAAGATTTCATTGAAGTGAACTTTACCATATTCGCGCGAGAGATCGACGAACCGACGCGCTGGAGGTGCGTTGTCTAAAGGCAATATATTCGATTCCAAAAATTCATTAATCATATTTCCCTTCTCAGCTCGGCTCACGTACAGATCTTTATACGTGATCAGAATGACAATTTCCCAGAGTTCACGCAGGCGATCTACAATGCAGGCGTGCCCGAGAATAGCGAACAGGGCACAATCATAAGCAAGGTGGAAGCGATTGATGTTGATTCCGGCGATTTCGGAACTATGGGCATACGGTATACGAATCTCAGAGGCGGCATTGCACACTTGTAAGTCCATTCAAAGAGATTGTAAGCTAAATCTAAAGTTGAGCCCTAATTCACAGACTACATCTAAATCCCATAACGGGTGTAATTACTATCAAAACTCCGGGAAGTGCTGCTTTCGATCGGGAGATCATTTCACGTCACTATTTAACAGTCGAGGCCATCGATAATGTGGGTCAGGGAAATCGAAATACCGCACAGATCATATTAGACATTCAGGACGTTAATGACAATGCGCCCATCTTTCTGCATCGGCAGTATGAGGCCAAGTTGCTGGAGAACAAAGCCGAGTTTGAGACGCCTCTGCAGGTGGAAGCTCGTGATCTGGATCTGAATGGCACCGAAAACAGTCAGATAACCTACGAGATCGTTGAAGGACTCTATCGCATGAACTTTACGATCGATCCGGAAAGTGGTTTGATACGGCCCCTACACCACTTTGACTATGAGGAACTGGTGGACAGCCATCGACACGCTGTGCGCCAGACGAATGCGGATATGCGAGAGATCGACCTGCTCGTTCGCGCCCGGGACTCGGGCATACCTATGCTGTCCACAGTCGTGCCCGTTCTTATCTATTTACAGGACGTCAACGATAATCCGCCCATCTTTCAGAAGAGCTTCTATGCGAAGACCGTGCCCGAAGACCTGCCAGGAGGCAGCTCGGTGCTACAGGTGCTGGCCATCGATCGTGATGGCTCCTCGCCCAACAATGCGATAGTTTATCGCATACAAACGGGCGCCAGTGACAAGTTTATCATAAACTCGGAGACGGGTGTTATAACTGTGGCTCAAGGCGCCAATCTGGATCCAGATCTGACCGAAAGCAAACGTCTGATCTACACTCTGAATGTGGCAAGTTTCTAAACACAATCCAATAGGAAAGTTTCTTTAAATTAACAAAGTCTTTGCTACCTTAGCTTGCATTGGACGGTGGCCTGGGCAACTCTCAGATGATGAACACCGCAACGGTGAATATTAGCATCAAGGATGTTAACAATAAGCTCCCAGTGCTACAGGATTTACCAACACTGAAGATAGTAGAGAATACACCCGTGGGCACCTTAGTCTATCAAGTGAAAGCCACAGATCCCGACCAGAATCCCATATTGCGCTATAAACTCAACGCTGCGCATTCCGAGGCACGCAACGAGGAGGGCGCCCTGGTGAAGATCACTGAATATGATTATCTGGGAGCTTTCGATCTAGATGCTATAGAAGGCTATTTGAAGGTCGTAAAATTATTGGATCGTGAGAAAGTGGAGCACATCAAGCTGGCCATAACTGTGGAAGATTTGGCAGCTGCCAAGGGCAGACAGATTGTGGAAGGTATGTAATTTTAATGTAAAGTCTAATTAAATCTATTTAACCATTTCAATCCCTAGCTTTCCTCACTATTCAAATCCAGGATGAAAACGACAATAATCCCCGGTTCCGGCAACCTTTCTATAGACAAACGATCACCGAAAACAGCATCAACGGCGTCCTGATTGCCAACGTGCTGGCCTACGATGTGGACAAGAATCGCACCGTTAGCTACGCCCTGGAGGGTAATCCCATCTATCGCAGTCTGGTCCACTTGGATGCACAGACTGGCGAGATTGTGGTGGCCAACAAGATCGATCACGAGCAGCATCAGTGGCTCAACTTTAGTGTGCGAGCGACTGATGCGGGTCTGCCGCCCAGATCCGCTTTGGTGGACGTCTTCGTGAGCGTTCTGGATGAGAACGACAATAATCCCTACTTCATAGGTGGCAGCAAGAACTATACGATCAGCGAGAGCGCTGCCCCAGGCACCCGGGTGGCCACCGTGCAGGCGGCCGATGCCGACTCGGGCGACTTTGGCAAGATCACATTTCTAATGGATCGCATCAGCTCGCAGGGCAAGTTCACCATAGATGCTGATACGGGCGTTTTAAGCGTGGCGGATAAGCTCGATCGGGAGACCAAGGACTCGTACAATCTGGTGATCGAGGCCTGGGACAATTATCAGTTTGGCTTCTTGGCCGGCGAGAGTCGGAATGCGTTCAAGCAAGTTTTGTAAGTAAAGTAAGAGGATCTTGAGAATTCAACCTAATAATGTAAATATTTCTCCGCCAGCATAAATATACTGGATGAAAATGATAATGAGCCTGAGGTCAGCCTGCCGAGCAGCTGCATTCTCATCACGGAATATCATGAGCTGCATGAAAGTATTGCCAGCATTGTGGGCAGGGATGCAGATGATCCTGCCACACCAAATGGCCGACTGGAGTTCGCCATCAGCAAGGGCAACAGAGACGGTCTGTTCGAGCTTAGGCAACTGGATCCATGGAACGCTCAGATCTATGCCAGCAAGACCTTGCGCAACCAATTTGGCAACTACACACTGACCATTAAGACCAGGGATTTGGGCGTGCCTGCCAATGTGGTACTCAATACTCTGGACATCTGTGTTTCGGACTTCAATGATCACGCGCCGGTGTTCGTGAGACCCCTACACAATACCACGGTGCGCATACCGGAAAACGCAACAGTGGGCACCATGATTCTCCAGGCTTATGCTAGTGATGCGGACATTGGACAGAATGCGCTAGTGCGCTATCGGCTCAAGCCCGATCCTCTGGGCAGCTACAAGTTGTTCGAAATTAGGCCCAACACGGGCGAGCTGCTGCTTAAGGAGCGCCTGAACCGGAACAAGCAAAAGATGCATGAGGTCAGGCTGGATTACTGGCTAGCATTTCACAAAAACACTAAACTCTCTCCATTTCAGATAAGAATCGAGGCTTACGATCAGGGACTGCCCACGTCCTTGAGCACAGATCTGGATCTCACCATCTACGTGCGGAATGTGAACGACTACGAGCCGCAGTTTGTAGTGAACGAGATCTCAGTCAACTTTACGGAACACTCTGATCCGGGCGCGGAGCGTATAAAGCTGCCCGATACCGTGGACAAGGATGAGATGGATCTCGATGATCCGGACGAGTCACCCACCCAGGTGTGCTACTTCATTCTGCATGGCAACGAGGCAGGCTACTTCCGCCTGGATCCGGAGACTCATGTGCTGACTGTGGAGCGAGAACTGGACCGAGAGCTGATTGCAAACTTTACGCTGTATGTAAAAGCCACAGAGAACTGCGCCAACGACACGCTGAAGCATGGCCTCCCGGGCCGAGCCATTGCGATAGACAGCAAAGTGAACAGCAGACAGACACAGATGAGCTACGATCGCTTCAAGCACTCGCGCCATTTGCGCGGCCTCAGCCTGGAGTACGAATTGCCCACATCCGCCGAGCCGGAGGCGGTGCTGTCGTACGACAGCTATGTGGATGCGAACAGTGCGGAGAAACTGGACAGCACGGTTGTGTGTGTACGGGTGCGTGTGCTGGACATCAATGACAATCCGCCAAGGTTTCGCTCGAAGATCTTCACCGGCGGCATCACGACCAACGCAGACTTTGGCCAGATTTTCATGCGTGTGGAGGCCTTTGACCCGGACGAGGGCGATAATGCGAAAATCACCTACTATCAGGTGGGCGACATAAGGCAGACTCTGTCCGAAGGTCTGGAGAACGTGCGCAAGGAGCCGTTCCTCATCGATCGGAACACTGGCGACGTGCAGCTCAACTTCGATCCACAGAAGGGCATGAAGGGCTACTTTGACTTTATGGTGCTGGCCAACGACACGCTGGGCATGCGCGATGTGGCCCACGTATTTATCTATCTGCTGCGCGAGGATCAGAAGGTGCGCATTGTGTTCCGACTGCAGCCGGACGAGCTGCGCTCCAGAATCGATACGTTTAGAGAGTAAGTCTACTATTACGTATGTATCTACTTTCATTACTAACTTCCATTCATTAGCACCCTGGGCAATGTCACGGAATCGATTGTCAATATTGATGAGATCAAGGTGCACGAAAATAAAGACGGATCCGTGGACAAGACGAAGACGGATCTGTATATGCATTTAGTCGAGCGCGAGGATAATTCCATACTCGAGGTGTCGGAGGTGCTCAAGCTAATCGACACACACATCGAGAATCTGGACGAACTGTTCAAGGATCTCAACGTGCTGGACACACAGCCCGCCGAGGCCCAGCTGCTCATGGCCAGCCCGACGAAGGGCGCCATGTTCGTGTGGCTTGTGTTCACAAATCTCTTCCTAGCCTCCCTCCTGGTGGTCACATTGGCGCTCTGCGCCTCGCAGCGCAAGGGCTACAAAAGACAGCTGCGCGCCGCCAAAGTCAACATCTTTCGTAAGCTCAGACATCAATACAATCCCAGCCATTGCTAACCTTTCCAAATTGCCACCAGGTGGACACTCTTCCACATCGCTGCAGCATCCCCACGAGCCTGCGACACGAGTGCCCAACACCAACAAGCACAGCGTGCAGGGCTCGAATCCCATTTGGCTGAAGGGGTACGAGAACGAATGGTTCAAGACCGAGGAAACTATAAGGTGGGCATCCAATCGAAACTAGATATATATAGACTAGTCTCAGATCTTGATTTTCTTTACAGCGTTGGCGGTCAGGATTCGTTAGATGATAATTTCCTGGCCATTGGCACACAGGATCTACGCGAAACCCTCAAGGGTACTGCCAAATTGTTCAACAATACGAATGACCTGAATCGGCATTTCAATCTATACAATCAAATTGACAAACTAACGAATAATGCTCAAATCTTAGCGCGGAAACTGGAGACTACAGAGTTATAGCCGATGCAACCGATCGCAATCTAGGCTAAGCCAAACTATTTATTATACTTAGGCTTAAGAATAGTTCATAGGCGTATCTTAAGAATGGACCCATGTAAATATATAGATTTTGGTAAAGAAGACTTTCTATACTTACTGCATTTAATTTCTTGCTTGAGATATTGCACTGTTTTCTAAGAATTCGTTTTTATAATCCTAGTGTTCCCTCGTATTTCCAGACATATAAAATATAACACACAATAGCTGTGCTGGCGCAATATAATAGTAATGGAGGGTTAAGATGTCGTTACAATTGATTAAGAATTGAAAGATCGGATGCTGTTTAAAGAACTTACCACGTCCGTGTTTGTATTCCAATTGGCCGAAGATTATAAATATATAAAATATTTTGATTTGTTACGACTACTTTAACATTCAGACATTTGTAATCATCAAAAACCTTGCCTACTCAGCAACAAAATGATCAATACCGTCATCAACGATTTACTGAATAAATTCCCTATTTTTTCCGCGATCATCAACCAACTTGTAAGTTTTTTTTTCTGTTTTGTCTTTTATTTCTTCTTCGTTTGTCTTGGTTCGGTTTGGTTTGCTCTTTGGCCAAAGCAGACCAAATTCGCTAGGGAATTGGCTGTCCAGTTGGATTATGACGTTCTTCTTCTTTTCTGTTTTTTTCGGTTTTTCTTTGAAATCAAAAATTTAATAAGCAAAAATTTCAAATGCAACTCCAAAATTTAAGTTGGCCGACCGCAAAACGAAGAAAGGTTAACCTTTGATAGATCGCTATAACGCGGCTTTACTGTTTTTTTGAATTGGAACTATGCGTGTGTGTGTTTAGACGAAGGAACTGGATTATTGTCAGGAAATTGTGTTGCTTGATTTATTTTGTATCGCCAGCTCGTCTGACAGTCTGCAAAAGCTTGCTACGAAACCCCCCAGCAACGGGACGCCACCCATATGAAAACTAAAGCAAATGTTCAATTGTCAAGAAAAATGTATATCTATATCAAATATTGTAAGTGAATCCAAATTAGAAGTTCAATCCATACCGAGTAAGGTCTGATTGAGAATTCTTATATATTTATATATCATATTCTATGATAGGGCAGTTAACTAAGTACAGTTCAAATTGAAACTTAATTCAATCACCCATTCCGACAAATTTAGTTTTAAAACATTTTGTTGCAGTTGCCATAAAATCAATATTTTTATTTTTCTTCTATTTTTTTCTCGTTTTCTTTTGCTTATAGTATATGTATTTCTTTTTTTGTTTAATATTTTTTTCGTTTATAATAATTACACAAATTAGATCACAAAAATGCATGTAAACTACAAAAAATGGTTTGAACTTCGAACCGAAAATAAAAATTAAAAATTCCACAACTTTGTGAACCAATCTTTGCTTTTGGCCGAGTTGCAACGTGGAGGAGTTATTTTTTGGATGGGCCGCTTCAATCTTCTCTCAACAAATACATCTTCACATATTCTTTATAAAGAACTGTATGAAGAAACGACTCGTTTGAATACAAAAAGTAAATAATAATAATTCAATTTATATTGAAATGAATACATTGTTTTTAGCTTCGCAAAGAATTTTGTTCGCGCTACTTGCACAGCAAAAAAAAAGTTCGTTTATATATATATATATATCTATCCCTATATATGTAAGCTAGTTGCCAACTAAAGTGAACTTAAGTTAAACTAAATTAATGCCAAAGATCAATCAAATCAAAACAGTACATATGAAGAGACAGAGATAGATAGATAGAAAGAGACAGAGAGAGAGAGAAAGAGAGGATTATTATACATGTGTTTAAGATAATTGTATATAGTTATATATGTATGTATATATAAGTATGTATATATATTACAGTTTTGTCTACTAAGTTTAAAGTACGAGTGGTTCCCTTCTCTTGTACACGTCCATAACGAAGATCCTCAATGTGCGATGCCGAGGCATGATGTAAATCGAATGCTTCATGCATATATATATATGTATATAATTTGATGTATTCATATTTTGTTTTTATTAAACGGTTTCTCTCATTTAATACTTGCAAAGATGACAAATGAAATATTACAATGGATGGGTGTAAGTCGATGTCAATGTATGTGTACGTGTCTGTGTGTGTATGTGCGAGGTGGGCGTGTAGATTGGGGCGTTAAATGATTTATATTTAAAGCGTAACAGTTTTCTTGTATGTATTTGTGGATACATCATGTGTGTATGTGTGTGTGTTTTGTATATTACTTAAGCTAAATAATTTTACATTTCAGTATATAAAGTATGTATATAACTCTATTTAATATGTAATCGTTAATTTACATATGTATGTAGTACGTAGACCAAAGATCGAAAAGTAAAAAATATCTTCAAATATATGAAAATTGAATTACTTAATCCTTTAAATCAACTACGAACAAAATCATATTTGCATTTGTATTTTTGTTGTTTTGCTTGTTTGTTTTTGTTTTTGTTTTTTTTTTCTGCAAACTTAAAAGTCAAGTTGCATTTTGATTTTGTCAGTTGGTTTCATTTAAATTAAAGCTTACATAGGTCTGTGTATTATATATATATATGTGTGTATTATATATATATATATATAATTTATACATATATTTATGTATATGTATGTATATTTAGTAATACGATTCGCGGTTTCAAACTATGTAATCCCTTGTACGTTTTATATATATATATATATGTGTGTTTGTGTGTATTTGTTTGTGTGTAAAAAACTTAAATTCTTTTTGCTTCTGCTGCTGTTGTTGTTATATTTCTCATTTTTAAGGGTTTTTGATGTAAATGCGCCTATAAAAACAAAAACTAAACAAATTCTATGCCTATTTAGAACTTAAGTCTTCTATGCGATATTTAGCATTTCTTTCACGCTTTCAAATTCAAATTTTTTGCTAAGATTTCCTACGTTCGTTTCATTCATTTCTCTCTTTTACTCTGTGGGCGTGTTTCTGTGTGTGTGTGTGTTTACCTGCTTTCTACATTTCCTTCACAATTTGATAATTCTTAAATGTTTTGTTGTACTAACTGATCAAATTAAGTTATTAACTTTAACGCTAAGGTTCCACGCGAATTTACATTTTACTTTCTTGTAATTATTTATATTTTTAATTTTTTTTGCTTTTGTTATAGTTTTTTGTTCTTTTTTTTTTTGTTTTTTGAATTTTTCATTGGAATTTTTTTTTTGCAATAACACGAATTAATTATATGATGCTTCAGTTATATAATATATGTATAGCATACTATACATACAAACATATATAGAAATGTATTCTAGACAAGAAATTGGAGTAGAGTGAAATTGCAAAGCTTCTCCGATGGCCAAACAAGGAAATTTTGGCAAATATAGAAAACATAAAAAGTGTCATCAACATTTGTTGAGAAATTTAGTTCGATTTTCTTTCAATGTGATTTCTTATCATTTTTCATTTAAGATCTAAAAGATTTCTGTCGAAAGAACTTTTGGAAAAAAAACGACGAGCTACACAGACTCGTTTGAAGCGTATACACAAGTGCGGCTTAGGCCAATTTAAGTCTGTACCAGGCCGCGTATATCCGCGACGGAGGCCGCCGGCGTGCAGCTGTTGGAGCTGGATCCGGCAGCACCGTTGCTGCTACTGTTTCCGCCGCCGCTGCTATCGACAAAGAGCGTGGATGCATCAATGTCGGATGCGTTCGGCGAGTTCATTACAGCGTTCACAAGCAGATCATCGTCCACGTCGAGGAAATCGTTAAGGAAGGCGCTGTCGTGCGCAGTATTGCCGATTGTCTGCTGGAGACACTTGAGGTTCTTATCGGCAATCTCGAGCGCGCGATCCATGGCCTCGCACTCGGCTTGTTGCACTGCAGCAGAGCACAGCACAGGTGGCGCATTGGCGGAGAGGTGCACACATTAATTAGTACAATGAAAAGCAGAGTTAACTTTGTTATTATGAAATACACACCAGATTGAAATAACTCGTTGAACGCATCCTCCGGCAGCGTATCAAACACATTTACCAAATCGTGCTCCTCCAGCAGATGGGCGCCATTCAATGCTATATCATCTGGAAGAGTTGAATTGGAATAGTTAACAATTGACCGCTTTCGAATATAATGCGAATATGTTCTCCACTTACCAGCATCATTAGCGCCTATCAGCTCCGACTCACTCAGACCGCCCAGGCCCGTATCCTCGGAGCTGGCATAGGCCGAACTGTTCTCGCAGATGCCAAACATATGCTGGCTCAGCAGATTTTCTGTGCTGGCCAACGCTGTGTTGGCATGATGCGATGCCACCTGCTGGCCCTGGCCGCTCATGGCATTGCCAAAAGCTGCATTGAATGAGGGAAAGCCGCAGCTAATGCTGCTGCTGCCGCTGTTGCTGTTGTTGTTGCTGCAAAAGTTTACACTATTGCTGTTGTTGCTGTTCATGTTGATGTTGTTGTTGTTGAAGTGCAAGTTGTTGTTGTTGTTGTTGTTGTTGTTGTTGTTATGATGCAACTCGCTACTGGCAGCCGCCAGCTGTGCCACAATCTGGCTAATCTCATCGGCCTTGAAATTAGCATTGGCCAGCAAATTAGCATCTAGCTGCTGCGTCTGCTGCTCAGCCTCGCTCTTAGGCAGCAGCATCTGCGGATACTGCTGCTGCTGCTGTTGCTGCTGCTGCTGGTAATCGCTGAGCGGTGCCAACGCTGGAGGTTTTATGGACAGCTGTGGCATAGTCATCACAGGCGCTGCAGGTGTGTAGGGCTGCTGGGCCGAGTGAGACATGGCCGACGATTGCGAATTGCTCGCAATGGACTCCAGCGAGGTGGTGCTGCTCTTACGCTGCAGCACCGCGGACACTGGCGGCAATACAGGTAAGGTGGTGTTAGCGACTGCGGCTGGCTTTTTGGCACGCTTTTGCGGACGGCCAACGGGATTGGCATTTGGATTCGTTTTGCGCTTGCGTTTATTAGCCACTGGTCCATTCGCAGTCACCGCTGGCACAGGGCCCGGCACAGCAGGCGTGGGTGCCGGCTTGGGCAGTTGCACTGCCTTTGCCCGTTGCTGCGTTTTCTGCACCTTGGACTGCACCTCAATGCCGTGTCGCAGGTGACTGTGAGCCGGGCACAATGCCAGTGTGTGCAGCACATCGAAGACGGGCGCCTGACAGGCCACCCCATCCATACGCCAAGCGACGCACGGCTGGAACAGCTGCTGCGTCGTATTGTTGACAATGTGTCGCTCGCAGTGGGCAGCCATGCTGAGCGTGGGTTGCTTGCACGCAGCCACCAGGCAGCGATTGCCAACGCCACTGCAAATATACAGAGTTCATTTATTTTACATACATTTGGATATAATCAGTTTGAGTGCACTTACATGCCCTGCTCCTGGCTCGCATGGTCCCCGTACTTAAGAATTAGATTCTGAACACATTGCAGTCGCTGACGTGCCGCACGCATCGGCAGCTCCTGCAGCGGGCGCGTCGACAGCAACTGCAGCGCCTGACGACGCAGTACACCTTTGCGTAGAGCAATGCGCTCCTCGCGATTGCTCAATCCAGGCTGTGGCTCCTCGTCCATATATTGACCAGCATGGAACCAACGTGTTTGAAAGCAGTATGGAACATCGAACTCCAAAGGTTCGTTCTCGTTGAATAACACTGCATTCCGCTTGGTTGCTGCCGGCGGCACTTTTCGACGCCGCGACACGGTGCTAGTCGATGTTGGCTCTAACGCTGGAGCTGCCGAAGCAGCCGTTGCTGATGCGGTTGCTGTCTGCTCAACTGTTGTAATCGGCGGTGGCGGTGCAGGTGGAGCCGGGGCCGGAGCTGGAGCTGGAGCTGACGGCGGAGCAGAAGTGGCCAGTGCAGCATTTTTATTATTTGTTTTGTTGGCTTTTCTGCAGCCAGTGCCTGCTGCTGCCTGCGCTTTGCGTTTCGGCGCTGCAGCCTGACTGACAACAGAATTGGCCACTTTGGAAGACGTTTGTTCATATTGAGTGCTGGCTATAGGTGCTGCTGCTGCTGCTGCTGCTGTGGCTGCTGCTACTCCAGTTGTGAGGGCGGGTGTGATAACTGTTGCCATTGCCGCTGCTGCTGCTGTGGCTGGCGGTGCACAAAGATTGCTCAACTGTGGCGTTGACGGCGGCGTGGGCGGCGTTGGCGGTGTTAATGGCGCCACAGCGCCCAGCTTCATCATTGCCGACTGCTGCTGGCCAATGGCGACTGCTGGGCGTGGCGGTGCTTGCGCAGCTGCTCCAGCGCCACCCAAAAGATCGGGTGGCTTCCGAAAGATGACATTGACGGGAATCTCATTGAGATCGTTGTCATCGCTAGCATCGGCGGAATGTTTTTTTGTTGTTGCAGCAGCAGTTGCAGGTGTTGCTGCTCCCGCTCCTGATGCTGCTGTTGCTGCAGTATTGAAAACCGTTAGCGGAGGTGGATGCGTTAGATTGTAGACGGCAAACGGTGTCGTCCCCTTGTGCAGCGACTCAACAATGTTGTTGTTGGAATTCTGACAAGCCAGCGGCAAGGATTTCTTTTTCTTCAGACATTCTACCTTCTGCAAGTGCTGCGCCAGCGTGGTGTGATGGAACTTTGACGGCGGCAAAGAGCCGCCTTTGGGCGGGGACATCGCCGCTGATGCGGCTGATAGAGGCACCACGATGGGCGATACCATGGCGGTCACAGCTGCTGTCGGCGGCGCATTAGCCGTGGGTGAGGGTAACGAGGCGGGCGATGTGGGCGGGCTGACCAGCGCTGTGGCAACGGCAATGTTGGACTGCTGTTGCTGCTGCTGCTGCTGCTGTTGCTGGAGCTGCTGCTTCTGTGTGGTATCCAATATGAGCGGCGTTTGCCACAACGAAGGCGTGTGCGTATATAGCGGCGGTGGCGGTGGTGGCGGATGTGGTGCTGGCTGCTTTGTAATCAATTTAGTTTGCTGTTGCTTCAGTTGCTGCTGCTGCTGTTTTTGCTGCTGCTGCTGCTGCTGTAGTTGCTGCTGTGGACGTACCACACAAACGTTGGTGGCACGTTTCGGCGACGCTTGCGACTGCAACTGCAACGGCGACTGCAATTGCAGCTGCGACTGTGACGTTGGCTGCCTTTGAGATTGTGTGACATTATTGAAATTCGTTGTTGTTGCTGCTGCTGCTGCTGCTGCACCCAAAGACGCCTGCGCCTTTGTTGTTGCTGCTGCTGCACGCGCTGTTGCTACAGTTGCTGGCGCTGCCGCTGCTGTTGTTGCTGTTGCAGTGCCATTCAACTGCGCAATGGGCACTGTTGTTGCAGCAACAATGCTCGCTTTTTTGTTTGCAACTCTCTTGCTATTGTTGTTGTTGTTGCTGCTGCTGCTGTTGCAATTTCTGCCGTGCTGCGCTTCACTTAAGCGGGCTCGCGATTTCTACAACAATATAAAGGTGTGTGTGCGTGTGGGTGTGTGAGTGAGTGAGGGCATTGTTTTGGTTTAATTCGGCTTCGCCTTGACATGGCTTGGCTCAGCTTTAGTTTTACCTGTGCATTAAATAAAATTGGCGGTGTCGCTGCAATAGTCTCTGTGAATACATAGGGATCCTCAGGCGGGTTCGTTTTGGCAGCAGCAACACCAATGTTATGCTCCACAATCGCTGGATTCGGCGTTGTTTTAGCTGCTGTTGGTGTCGATGTGCGCTTTGCTGTTGTTGTTATTGTTGTTGGTATTGGAGTTTTGGCTGCTGTTGCTACTGTTGCTGTCGCTGCTGCTGCTGTAATGAATCTTGACGCTTGCTGACATGACATGTCCAATTTGCAGCCGTTGCCGTTGTATTAGCTATTGTCGCTCTTCCGATTACACTTCTGCTGCTTCTTCGCTTCCCCTTGGTATTGTGCAGTTGCTTGTGGAGTGAGTAAGTGAGTGTATATATATTTATATTCGCCGCCTGGCTTTTGTTATTTGATCTGTAATAGATAACAAACAGTTAGTATAGTCATTGAAATGGAGAAAACCACTGCTGATAAAGCAAAGAGCGGCATTTTCAATCGGGCGTTGTCACGTGTGCTCTTTCCAAGCGCACACACTTAAACACAAACACACACGCATACACTCACACGAAAATACAAAAAAAAAAATTGCTTAATATGCAAGTTCTTTTTTCGAGAGTAATCGCTAGTAGATACCCTTGTCACAGATGTCCATCAAATGATTCTTGATTGCAATGCAACTTTTATTTCAGAGAAGCTACTCAATAATCGATATCGATATCGAGCAATCATATTATGATTACTTGCAATGATATCGGAGATGTTTTCTTTTCCGTTTTCTCATACATCTGCACTGAACTCAGTACAGAGCAATAGATGTCTCTCTCTCTCTTTCTAGCTAACTTAAACACACATACATATACACAGGCGCACATGTGGAACAAGCTGCAATAACAATAAACAAAGTGACTCAAGCGAGAATGTTACAGTTATCAAAATATAATACACGACTATGGAAAGTACCCTGCACTACACTTTTATATTGACCCATTAATGTATAAATATAATAATAATAATAATTTGTAGATGTATATACATATGTATATATATATATATATGTATGTATAAATATTTTCATTAGTATTATATGACATTATATTTGCCCATCATACCCCATACAGGGTATTTATAAAAGGGCATGAAAACAAAATATTTGTGCACATATGTATGTACATATGTACGTGCACATATGTATGTATGTTTGTTTATATGTATATCCCGAGTCAATAAATCGGTTTGCTTGCGATTCGCTGTAAACCAATTCAAGCGAATCGCGCACTTTCTTCTTTGCCATCGTTGCCGCTTCGGCATCGCGAGAAATACAGACAGAAGACAAAGTGCTGATAAAAACACAAAGCGAAATTTGCAATTATCAAAATACATATAATAATAATAATAATAACGAACTCTCTCACACCATAGCTAATCACATACGCATACGCTCACGCACACACTTAAGCACATATACGAGTGCAGTGAGAGAAACTGTTATTGTCACAAGCGAATTCAGCAATAGCAACAAACCGCGTACACAAATTTGCATGCCAAACGAAAACTGAAAACGGGAACAGAAACAATTGCGAGTGTAGACATATGATATGCACACACACACACACACATGTATGCAGATATGCGCATTCGTTTGTGTATAATCAAACGAAATGAAAGCGAGCAACAATTATTGACTGCGCAGCTACAAAAAACAAAAACAAGAAAGCAAAACAAATCAAGTTCAGAAAACTTAAATATGTACATATGTATGTATGTATTTCTAATCAAATCTGAGACGTTTTCAATTGCGTTTTATATATCGAAAAAAAAGTTACTTATCAAACATCAGTTTCTAAAATATCACAAAGCCGAAAATACGAAATTTGCGCATAGATAATGTCTGTTGACCCAAATCTTAAAATATGTGCATACGTACATACATACATATGTATGTATACATAAATACATACATACATATGTAGTATGTATTTATTCAAAAATTTACAAGTTGAAAATATGAATTTCGACTAATTCCTAGAAAGTCAAAAACAGTCAGAGAATATACATATGCATTAATGATAAGTCTTCTCTGAGTCATATGTATATTTAGTTATCATTTTTGGGTAAACATGCTCTTGACTAATCTCACTCAATTTAACTGTTTCTTACGAAATGAACTAAAAATACGTCATGATTATATTTATTTTCGAATAGAATATAACCAGTTCACTTCAATAGGCCATATACAATCTTCACTATAACTGTGCTAAAAGCTTGAAAACCATGAATACTATACTTGATAAATAAATAAATAAGTTTTTGCTAGAAATATGAAGTAAAACTGTTTAGATATAAGACCAAATGACACCTGTTAAGTGCAATATGATTATAACATGCATACGTTGATCGTCATGCGTATGTATACAATAAATTTACATATAATAATTTGCTTGTATATGTATTCATACATACATATAGTGTGTATGTGAGTAATTGCTAATATCAACAAGTAACTGACCATATGGCCAATTGAATGCAATTTAATGAACTGTAATAATTTACTTGTTTGGCTAGTTACAAGTTGAATGCAATAACATTTTGTATACACTCGCATTGATTAATATTATATAGATTATAATAGCCCCCAGGCCCTCTCTTCCTCTTCCTGCTATTCCTGCCTGTCTGCCTGCCACGGCTGCTGCTGCTTTGTTTACAATTCAACTCGTATTTCCAAAGAGTGAATAAACGTTTGTAGGTATTTTGCATTTGACAGTTCACATCGGATTGAATTGCATTGTACATATGTACATACATACATACATATGTTTTTTGTTTACATTTCCGAGAAAGAAGGAAATTATGAGACGGCAATCAAGCTGCATGGGCCGCCCACACTTACGTATGCAAGAGTTGATGTGATGAGTGCATGTGTGTGTGTGCATTTGTGTGTGTGCCGACGTGATAGTTTTGTTTATTATTTATTTACTATGCTGAGAAGTAGACGAAGACCAAAACTCTACACATACATATACATGCATACATAAATATGTACATATGTATGCTGAAGACGGCATTGAAAAATTTAAGGTTAAAATTTAGCGAATATGCTCAAAACAGAAATCAAACAAAAATATACTCAAAAGCAAACACGTTTGTATACATACGTATTCATATACACACATGCATATACACATAACATATATATATGTACATATGTATATAAAAATACGCATACATACAAACATTCAAAGCTAGGCAAAGGTTTTTGATCCTAAGCCGCAAAGAGAAACCTATGGCAATAACAAAAACAAGAAAAACAACAGCAACAAATGGATTTAGCGTGCACATAAAAAGAGAAGAAGAACCAAAGAAACATTCCGATAATTGCAAATAATGACTACAGTGAAGTTTGAAGTTGTTGTTGTTGATCATGTTGTTATTGTTGTTGCTGCTGTTGCTGTTGTTATTGTTGTTGCCGTATTCTGTTGTGGTTTCCACCGCTTCACACCCTGCCCCAATGTCCATCAACAACTTTTACGAGACTTGCCAACGGCTTTAGCCTTTTTTGGAGTTAAATGTTAACTGGTTTTTTCTTGTTTTTTTTTTTTTCTTCTTCTTCTTTTTCTTTCCAAGCGTTTGGAAACGCTCGAATGATGATAAAATGACAAAAGAACAAGCCAAACTCTTAACCCGTAATACCTAAACAAAAGAAGTCAAAGCAACTAGTATAAAACTTGTAAGTTCTACAAACTTCAGTAGAGTCTGCCTACCTAGTCTACAATCTGGAATCTGTATCTAGGCAGATCATACATACAGAGTTTGGGAATGGGTGCCTAACGCTTATACTATGCACGTATATACATGTATGTATGTATGTATAATAGCTAAAGCAATATACATACATATATGTATGTATGTACTATATAGTCACTTCCTCACACATCAAATGCTATATATGTATGTATTGTTTTAGAGCTGCTAATGCTAATATTGTAGGAGCTACAACTCTCTGAGCTCTCTAAGGCATCGAGAAGTAAATATTCATATGGTGTTAAAAAAAAGCTGTTAAGAGTTAAGAGACGGATATCAAACATCTCATAAATAGGACATTGACGTCTTTCAGAGTTGTGATATATCAATATACATACATACATATGCTGGTTTTTTTCATAAATAAAATCTAATAAAAATACACCAAACACTAAGACGTCCGGTCTGTTAGTGAGGCTTCAAAGGTAGGTAACCCGGATGGACGAGTGTTCGTGGGTGTGGATTATATTGAATGCTGTTAAAGTGCTTTCACAAAGAATGTTTTCGCTGCTTGAAACACAAATCTCTTCTGTCTTAAATTATACGACCTTCTTCTAAAAGAAGAAGAGGCAGTAAAAAGAAAAACCTTATACAAAATGTTTCTCTGTTGAATTATAAAGGTTGCATAGGCTGAAAGGTCTGCTGGTTAGACGAGCTATAGAGGCAGGCAGGCAGTCAAACAGACAGATAGACAGACGGATGGATAGACAGTCACGCAGGCAGGCAGGCAGGCAGAAAGCCGGTTGAGAGGTTAATTGAGAGCGCAAAGCGTTCGCATCGTTACGCTTAACGCTCCGCAGCTACAGTGAGTGGAACTCTTTGCTAAATAGTTTCCAGTACAGAGTATAATGGCCTAACTAGTAGTATCAAATTAAAATGTTTTATGCACATACAAATGTCCTACACATATGTACGTATGTATGTGTACAAATACATACATATGTATAGAGATATCTGTGGTTGGCAACGCTTGAAGAGCGAACAATGAACTGTCGTTCTTTTGTGACAGCTTTGCGTAAATTATGTATGGATTGCGGTGAAAGAGCAGAGCTGGGAATTCTAGTTCAACTTCATGAAAGTTCATATAAACAGAACATGAGCTATCTGTGATTTTTACAACATTAAAATGAGAGAGAAATAACATTAACCTGATGCATAAGTCATTGAATAACTGAACTGATTCGAATTACACCTCAATGAATCGGATCGGGTGGTTTGCTAGAAGGAAACATGTTAATGAAAACATGAACGATTATTATCAACATATAAGATATAGATATATCTTTACATGAATATGCAAACATTAACATTATCCTGTTTTCTTTATAAGCAATTTAATAACTAAACTGCTTCGATGCATCCACCAATGAGTAGAATCAGTTTGATTGTTTCTTTCAATGACCCGTTCAATTGAACTTATTCCAAGCGAAACGGCGCAACTCTAGGGACGAGCTGGAATGGAAACAGCATCCGTCGCGTAGTCACGTTGTGGTTATTGACGCACATACTACAATAAAATGCACACAGAACGCACATATACAAATATACATAAATATATACATAGTTATTGCAAGTGCAGGAAACCCGAACCCGTTTGTTTCCTTCATAACCGGAAACTGAAGGCTAAATGTGTAAAAGAAAAAGCACAAAATAAACGTGAATACTTATGTACGGCTGCATATACATATTTATATACTTATGCATACATAAATGTATATGTATGCATGTATTTCTGTTGCTGACGACGACCGCAACGAAGCTGTGCCAAACGGCAGATGTAAGCAAAGCAAAGAGCGCCAACAGGCACAGACACGGTCTGTCAGTGTGTGGGACGTGCCCGTTACTTCCCACTTCAGTTTTCAACATATGCTTTATTATTTTACACTATTTTATTTTATTTTTTTCTTCTTTCTTTCTTTTGTACTGTTGTTTTTATAGCCTGGACAGCTGCACAACACTCTTGCATATGTATTCCAAAATGTAACTGCACAGGTATACATAAGTATGTAATAAACACATGCAGACCCAAACACTTCACACATATGACTGTATTTTGCGGCACCTATGAGTGCCGTTACAGAAACCGCTGTCTCTGTCTTACTCGCGTAAGTTTTATTTCATGGTCTAAACGCGATATTTTGGCAACTCACACACACACGTAAACTTAAACACGATTGCCATGATGATTATTGCGAAACGTAATTATCACCGCCTGGTACATCACAATGCATACACAGCCGCACCCGTATATAAGATGCTTTTGCAACCGTATTGGTAGGGGCGATAATAAACAAATCAACAAAACAAAACAAATTAGAAATTCTCGTGTAAATGAACTTTT